ATGTTCCACATTATTTTCACCAACTCACCATCAACTCAGATGAATTGAATTTCCAAACATTTCCAAATATTCATTCTCTCTTTTATTTTATTCTTTGTAAAAACTTGAGTTTGACTGAATTTTCAGCTTTCTTAAAAATACAGCAATGATTGTAATCAATTAACAACACTGTAACTAACTTGAATAAAAAAATCCCATTACAATGCAAATCCAATTGGTAAATAAAGATGAATAAAAAAATAAATGATTTGCCTGATTAGAAATTAAAAACTTTTTATATACCTGACACTTAACCGTCAAGGATTTTTTCCTGCGGAGATATTTAAGGCTAGGGACCCCTTAAGGCCAGAACACACCAAATCCGATTTTGAGCCCGATCCGACAGAAAATTATGTCATTGTGACGTTCAACAGTCATAGAAAGTCAATGGGAATGATTACACCCAATACGATTTTAAACAAGGGTGCTGTATAGGTCTGACTGAGATAGACCAAAGGTCTATTTCAGTCAGAATATGCAGATTCAGAGGAAATTTCTTTCTGACCGAAAGAGAGACACTGTTACAAAGTAAAACACATCAGCTTTGATGGAAAATACAAAATAAATCTGTTAATTGCGCAGCGAAATAGTCAGTTTTGGAGTCTCAAATCCCGTATATAGGAAGTGTTTCATTCAAAAACAATACATGAAAAATAAAAATAATACTTTACCCATGATAGGAGTTGAAGAGACCAGAAAATGGAAAAAGTAGTGATTCTCTCAGAGAGAGCAGGTAAGTGCAGCATATCTCTCTCACCTCTTAATAAAAAAAGAAGAAAAACTGAAACTTCGATAAACTTCATAGCTCTCTCTCTGAAGGCTGATTTATATACAGCAACCAGGTCATCTGTTTGTAAGTCGCAGTGAATGCAAAATGCCCCTGCCTCAGACACTCTGCTGCTGCACCTCTCCAAAACTGTATGTGACCACAGACAGTGCTGCAGACAGGAGGCCTCTACACTATGCATATTTCCTGTTTGGTACCTTACCGGCCTGTTTTGTTTGTATGACTGCCATTGCGGAAAATTCTTGAAGTTGGTCCAGCTAGAAGAGCGAGTTACCCGAGAACGCTGGGACCCTTTTTCCACCTGGATCCATGCTGATTTTCTCCCCCCACTGTCGCACTAACTTGCCACCTTTTCCTCACCGCCTCAGCCGTATCTAGACCCACAGCTAGTTCGTGATTGCCCCTCTTGCGTTGTGGCGTTGTAACATAGCGCAGACCACGCTTCAATACTGGGCATAAATCAAATATCTGCGACAAGCTCACTACGACACATTGCTGCAGGAGTATAACCAGCCCTTGAAAATGACCTCTCTGCCTCAGTCAGCATAGAAACACGGTGTTTATTGCTTTGTGTACTTTTCTTTAAACATAGTTGTAATTATATTTCTGATGTAGGCATATAAACATTCTCTACCTGTTCTGGTTTGAGATACTGCCCCGAGTCTTTAAGTGGTGCTTTTGCTTTATAGCTGTGCCAGTGTTTTTATATTTATTTATTTATTAATAATAACTTTTCATAACCTGCCCAACTCAAATATGGGAAATATTTTGAATTTGTGACAGATGTGGAAAAAAATCTGCGCAGATCTGCTCACCCTGCCTAGTCGGAGCCTTTCTATATGCAGTCAGTGTGACATGGAAAAAAATCTAATCAGAATTTAAACATATGTATGCAACCGGTGTGTTCATGTCTTAAGTGTGGGAGTGAGCAGAGCCTCTATACCAAGCTCAGCAGGGGGGCATCACATTTCCCAGTGAGTGTCAAACTCCTTTTGGCAGTGTCCCGCTTATTGGGTAGAGAATATGTCCTTGGATTTGTTTCTTTAAGCGTGTTTGATGAGGAATTTGGGACGTGGTGGCCTTGTGGTTAGGGCATAGTGCTTGGAATCCTGAGGTTGTGAGTTCAAGCCCCACTCTCACAGACTGCCACTCTGGCTCCCGGAGCAAGACTCTTAACCCCACACTGCTCCCCGGGTGCCCCACAATGGCAGCCCACTGCTCCCCAAGGGGATGGGCTAAATGCAGAGGTAAATGTCTCTACTGTGAGATCAATAAAGTCCAATAAATAGAGCCTTTTAAAGTTGGCAAAGAGAAACTGAATGGACATTGGTCCATTAATGTTCAAAATTTAAATTATAGTTTGCGGCATGACTGGTAACAGTTCAGCATTTAGAATAGTTTCAATCTGTAAATCTGAAAACGTTTCTGACTTAAAGAGACAGACAAGTATTGACCACACTGTTTAACATTTAGAGGAATTCTCTGGCAGAAAAAGACTCTTTAGACTCAACTCAGCACAAAAACACTGAGGAACCAGAACTGAACCCAAATCCAGGATGCAGAGGTTCAGTGAAGGTGGTGTTGAAGGTGTGGAGGTGGATCAGAGAGTCAAAAAAGACTCTGTAGAAGGACAGGATTCCAGCAGAACAGTCCACATAGACTGCTACCCTATTGGTGACAGAAGGGGAGGAGGAGGGCAATGAAGATGAGGAGGAGATGAATGTTGGTCTGTTATTGTACCAGACAGAGTAACCACCATCAGAGCAGCTCAGACTCCTGGACTGATCATTCCAACCAAACCTACAGTCTCTACTCTCTCCTTTCCTCTTGATTCCTCTGTAGCTCACGGATATTTCCACTCCCCCACTCCACTCAACCTCCCAGTAACAGCGACCAGTCAGAGCCGTTTTACAAAGCAGCTGAGGAACATGAAATCTGTCTGGATGATCGGGATATGACTGAAGCTCCTCCAAGACTGTCACCTTCCTATTATCTTCAGACAGTTTGAGTTTCCTGCTCATTGTGTTTGTGTCGATTGTGAGCTGACAGGAATCTGATAAGGAGAACAAACACAACCCATCTGCAGTTATTGATAATTGACTGACACTTTGATTATGACTCCTGAAGTGTTGGGAAAAACTACTTACACTTTCCCAGACCTGGTTTCAACCATTGGATTCCAGCAGGCTCCATCCTGAAAGGAGAAGGGGGTCAGACCATCAGTGTCGTTTAGCGTGCAGACATGGACCATCATGTTTGACCACATTGCCCCACACGGAGAAAGGAAAAAAATCCTAAGAGAAAGACCTGTCTCACATAAAGCATGCTATTTAATAACTGAATCAGTGGACTTTGACTGCAAGTAAAAAACACACCTCATCTCAAGGCACTTTACAGTTCACCAGATCATCCAGTCAAATTGATTCTAAGTTTTCTATCTAAGGAAAACCAGTTGATTGCATTGACTCATTGACTCGAAGGCAATCCCTCACACTAAGCAAAGGATTTTAAATTCTATTCTGGATTTAACAGAAAGCCAATGAAGAGAAGCTAGGATAGCTGAGATATGATCTCTCTTTTTAATTTTAATTAGAACTCATGCTGCAGCATTTTTTATAAGCTGAAGGCTTTTAACTACTGATTGTGGTTAACTTTATCTGGATTTATAGTCAGATGAAGCTGAGTATCATCAGCATAACAGTGGAAATTAATCCCATGCTGCCCAATAATTCTACCCATTAGGAGCATATATATAGTAAAGAGAACTGGTCCTAGCACTGATCCCTGTGGTACTCCATAGGTAAAACTTGAGCATAAGGAAGATATGTCATTAATGTGAACAAATCTGAAAAGTGTGGGTGCTGCATCCCCAACATCCCCATCTACGTATTTGGAAAATCTACTGCACCCAGTGATAACTTCTATCTCCAGATCAATTACAGTGTGGTGATGTCTTCCTACATCTCTGATTGTGAGATTTATTACTCTTAAAAGATTTTACTCTTAAAGATTTTATCAAAGCAAAAATGTCTTAATATATATTGGTTCATGATGGCACTAATTGCTGGCTTAATTTCTCATTCCATTCACCTGTCTAACTCTGTTGCTCATCACTGCTCATCTGATCCACCTAGGGATGCAAACGGTTAATCGACTTTAGATTAATTGTCGATCAAGAGGTTGCTCGATCAAAATGTATTAATCACGATTAACCGCTAGAGGGTGCTAGCGCTTTACTGTAACTTGAACACAGCGTGAGAACGAGAACACGCCTCGTGTCGCGAGAGAGACCAGGTTTGAAAATCAAATGAAGCGGGCGAAAAGAAGTGCGGTGTGGGACCACTTCAATATTGTTAATTCAGGCAAAGAAGTCAAATGTTCTCTTTGTAATGCGGTGTTGAAATACAACAGTTCCACTAGCTCACTCAGTTATCATTTGAACACCGTGCATGCTGCTGTCTTGCATGGCACCACCAGTTCACCTGGTCAACCTAAAATCACAGCTACCATTGGAAGGCGAGCGTGTGATGAGAGAAGGGCGGAGGGCATTACAGAGAAGATTTGCTGCATGATCGAGAGGGATTTGATGCCAATCAACACAGTTGACGGTGCAGGATTTCAGGATCTCATTGGGTTCATAGAGCCAGGTTACAACATCCCTTCGAGGACATCAATAACTTCTCGCCTCGAAGCTCGGTTCGAAAAAAAGAAAGGTGAGCTAAAAACAAAGCTCGCTGCTGTTACAGCTGTAGCATTAACAACAGACTGTTGGACGGCTCTCACAACAGAAAGTTACATCACAGTTACCTGCCACTACACCGACGAAAACTGGCTGTTAAAATCTGCAATCCTGATTACGACGAGCATTTCTGACAGACACACCGCCGACAACTTGGCTGAGAAGCTGAATTATATAGTGGATACTTGGGGACTTTCCGGCCGCGTTACAGCATGTGTCCACGACAATGCTAGGAATATTGTCCAAGCGAACAATCCTACACGAGTCAGCTGGAAATCAGTAGCGTGTTTCGCGCACACCCTGAATCTCGCTGTCAATGATGGTTTTGCTTCTGCTGGGGTAGACAGAGCAATCGCGGCAGCGGGAAGGTTGGTCAAACATTTCCACCACAGCACAATCGCAACCAAAGCCCTGGAAGAAAAGCAACACCAAACGTCGCTTCCTCCGCATCGCCTCATTCAATCCTGTAAAACCAGGTGGAATTCAGTCTGCGACATGTTTGAGCGCCTGGTTGAACAGCGATGGGCTGTGTCAGCCGTGCTATCAGACCGATCCGTGACAAAACTGGCAGATTCGAGGACGCTGGAGTTGAGAGACGACTACTGGCAGCTAATGGAAGATATGGCACCCGTGTTGGGAACATTGAAGTGTGCAACTACGGTGATGTCTGCGGAGTCGGAGGTGTCAATCTCAAACACGTACCCCATCACGTTCAGTCTAATCAACACTCACCTCAGCGCTTCAGACGAGGACAGCCCCAAAGTCGCAGACTTCAAGGAAAAAGTGCGAGATTCGCTGGGCGAGCGCATGAAGGTATGCATCCATTAATTATTAAAACTACCTATAGGGTCTATCCAATAGACTAATAATAATGATGAATAAAATAAATAATGATGCAAATAGGTCGTAATTGTCATTCAATTGTATCGTTTTCATATGTGTAATTGTAGGCCTATGCCTATTCTTTCTATTTTCAACAGATTCAGTCTGATGACCTCAACACATCCACCCCTATGATCGCAACAATGCTTGACCCTCGTCACAAACACCTGGGATTTCTTCCTCCAGCTACCAGGAAGTCAGCTCATTCCATGCTGCTTCAAATGGCTACAGCCGAACGCGACAGCATCACTGCAGGTGCCGCCACCGCTGGAGACGACGGTAACACTGTCCATACAGGGCCTCAGCGACATGGGGCTAAGCCTACATCTGCTATGAGTTTACTTCTGGGTGAAACCTATTCCGATGCCCGCAAAGATGACGTGGAGAGTGAAGTGGATATGTACTTAAAGGACCCTCCTGCACCACTTGAGTCTAGCCCCACGTGCTGGTGGAAAGTGAATGAAAGGAGGTTTCCGACACTGGCAACACTAGCAAAACGGTATTTGTGTACGCCAGGCACATCAGTCCCCTCTGAGCGTGTGTTTTCAGTAGCTGGGCTCACTGTAAACAGGCTACGTACACGCCTTACCCCAGAGCACGTTAACATGCTAATTTTCTTGAACAAAAATATATAGAACCTAGGCCTAGGTCAAGTTGTGATGTGCCACATTTCAGTTAGGAGAGGGTAATATTGAATCACCACTTTATTTGATTGTTCTGGTTTGAGGCCCTGTAATGTTATGCTATGTTGTTGTGTTCAGTGACCCTGTGAACGTTTCATTCTATTTTGCTGTAACCCTATACAAATTGAGGTAGAAATATGTTGTGGATGTTTCATTTTAGGATTGTTGAGGATTACCCAATTAATAGCCTATGCAGTTTCTTTCTAACCTATAGGCTCAATAATATTCTGTTTGGCTCTCTATTTAATTTCTTCTATTCTCTTTTTATGTCTGTTTCAAATGCAAGAACTGAGCCAGGTTTTTTTTTAATTAAAGATTTTGTTTTACCTTAAAAACGTGTCTGCTTTCTTCTCCTAATGCATAATTACTTGAGGAATGTATAATATAATACAATATAATTATGGTATCATAATGTTGGCTAATGTAATATAATACCTCAATTATATTAAGGCCCTATTGAAGCCCTGAAATTCAGGTGAAAAACGCCGCTTATCAATTAATCGAAAGTCGATCGATAAGATAATCAACTAATGATTAATGAATTAATCGATAATTTGCATCCCTAGATCCACCTGCTCCTGCTTCTGTTAAAAATGCTCAGTCCCAGTCATCAGGGCCAGATTATTGCTCTCTGTAGTTCTCGTTTTCGCTGTACAGTGGTGAGAGGGTTTTTTTTTTATTGTACCATAGTGTTTCGGATTGTACAATCCTGGCATGTTATGACTCTTATCCACTGAGCCTGCCGGTTTTCATCTGATCTCAGTGGAGAGAATCGGTTTCAGTGTACCATAGTGATTCCGATTTCCTAATCCTGACTCATTCTGCCCCTCAACCACTGACAAGTCTGTTTCCGTCTGAACGGGTTGCTTTAACTGTCTTTGGACTCCTGGACCTCTGAACCAGCCTGTTTCTGTTCTGACCTAGCTTTGGACTGCTGGGCTTCCTGTTCTGATCCGTTTCCCTGATTTAGTTTCGGACCCCTGCATTTTCTCTGGGGCTGCAACATCTGGGACAGTCTGGACAGCACACGCCACATTTTGTTGATAGTCCACCAGCTGGATCCTACCTCGTTCTCTGGGGATGTGAATGATCTGGCCTCTTTTTTTTCTATTTGAAGTTAATTTCATGTCTCTTTTTTTCTGATTTGGATTTGCTTGTTATATTTTGAAGTTATTTACTTTTCTTGTTAGATTTAGCTTGGGTTGCTGTGTTACATGTTTTTCTGATTTTGTGCAGTTGAAGGGATTTGAAGCTGGATAGAGAACAGGTAAAGGAGTGGCGGATGGAAGAATTAAAGGACTAGTTGCCACGGAGACTCCTCCAACTGTTCGCCGTCGAGGAACGGATGGGTGTTGGAGTGCGAGTGGCTGGATCACTGCTGTGATTCACCCGTGGCCGTGGAGGATCGGCCGCCTGGCGTCAGAAAGGACTGCGTGCTGGAGGGGACCAAGCGCCAGAGAGGAATGCGCCCCCCTTGGGCCAGCTAAGAGTTCATCCTTTTTAAACAGACTCATCCATTGACTGTGCTGATCCTTACTGCCCTGCATTTTCTCTTTTTTTAGTTAATTTATTCTTTTAAATAAATCATTGTTAACTTTTACCAGCTCGTTCTTTTAGACCTCTGCTCACATTCACCGCAGTTTGTTTTTTCATAAATATACCTCTCAGGTGCCACAGATGGACTGAACTGTTAAACCAGGTTAGTGACTCTCATGGATAATTATCCTCCATGAGATTATCAGGATAACTAACCCGTGTTTCTCTCCACCAGAGCTTCAGTGATAGACACCCTAGCTGCTGATACTGCGGATCCACCACTCGTCAATCTTGTTTCAGTAACACTTTGTATTATCCCACTGTCTGATTTGCCTTGAATACTGGGTCCTTCTGTCCTGTATCATGACATATTGTGGCCTTTAATAACCCCCTGAAAAAAATAATCAAAGTATCCCTTCTGAAAAGGCATCCTCTTAGAATTTTACTAATTGCTGAGAGAGTTCTCTATACTCTTTCATTTCTAAACTAGATGAATAGAAAACAGATTCACAGTTGGTACATTACCTGCTATTGATTGGGCTGTCCTACAAGCAGCTTTACAATAAATGAGGGAAAGCCCTATGTTAAGCTATTATAATATAACTGGTTAATGAGAATGTAAACAAGTTGAATATATTTAATTTAATTCAGACATACCAGATGTGTGCAGCATATAAGGTAAACAAGGGCATCCTACTTTAACGCCTTTGGACTGAGACTTTAGGGAGGAATTCAGAACATCTGTGTAGGAGATTCTGCCCACTAGACTGGATTGTGATCCTAGGGTTCTCTTAGGAACCTTAAGAAATAGTAGGAGATCGAATTGAGAGAGTTCATAAATATGTGTTGTTCATAAGCCAAAACCAAAATTGCCTTAAACAAGAAATCTAGGAGTAAACTCTTTATCTTTCTGCTGTTTAAGGAGCTTATGTCTTGATTGACATGTTGCTCAAAAATAGGATGTATTCCAGAAATCATGGAGTCATTTCTTTACATACTAAAAAGATGATTTGCCACTCAAGATTGTTGGGTTCTGAAGAAATGTAGGTATACCGTTTAGTAGCTTGGCATAATAATGCTGGGCATCGTGTGGTTTAAGTGTGTCAGGAGTTCCTGCATAATAAAGACACTTGTGCTATGGACTGGCCTGTCCATTTCCCAGACCTGAATCTGATTAACCTGGGTCATTATGTCTCACTCCATACCTCAATTCCATGTTGCACCACAGAATTGATTTACTTTATATTGATTATTTTATCAATATAAATACCATTTACAGTTAGTCAAAACTGTGACTAACTGTATGTGCTCTCTTTATCTTCTGACATGGGAGCTGGCTCAGAGCTCATCTGCCTGGCTGTGTGTTTCCTGGACGGTGGTCGCCTGTGGAGCTGGTTGAGAGTTACCTTTTGTATCTATGTCTGATTTCTATGTCTGCTTCTGTCTCCTTGAACCCCAGTCAGCCTCGGCAGATGGCCGCTCACACATAAGTTTGCTTCTGCTGGAGGTTTCTTCCTGTTAAAAGGGTATTTTTCCTCTCCACTGTCACTACAAGCATGGTTTTTGTGAGGGATCGCCTTTGAGTCAATGAATTGATGCAATCAGCTGGTTTTTCTTAGAACTCTATGAACCAATCTGAGTGTATGATCTGATTGAATTGTCTCTGTAAAGTGCTTTGAGCTGGTGTCTTGGGAATTGACTCTATATAAATAAACTGAATTGAATAGTATAATTTTGTCAATGCATTTCACCACATAATGGATAAATATTTCTGATTGTAGAACGTGCAGGTGGGGCAATGGTTAGTGCGCACGACCCACGTACGGAGGCCTTAGTCCTCGACGTGGCCGACCCAGGTTCAAATCCGGCCTGTGGTCCTTTGCTGCATGTCTCTTACCCTCTCTCATACCCCCTTTCCTGTCAGCCTACTGTCAGAAAAAAACGAACCACTAGTGCTGTAAAAGCTCAAGAAAATATATATATATATATATATATATATATATATATATATATATATATTCCTGACTGTTTTTGTAAAACTGAATTAAGAGTCAAAGAAGACACATCTCATTGTTCCTCCTCTATCAAATCATTTCTACACCTGCAGTAGGTTCCTCCATACCTGAGATCTTCCAGTCTCCAGTTTGGATCCTTTAGTCCAGCCGACAGCACCTTCACTCCTAAATCTCCTGGATGATTGTAGCTCAAGTCCAGCTGTTTCAGGTGGGAGGGGTTGCAGCTCAGAGCTGAAGCCAGAAAAGCACACCCTTCCTCTGAAATCAGACAGCCTGACAAGCTGCAGAAACAAAATTCAGCACACATGATAAGAAGATGACAACCTTGAGGTAGAACCCAAGTTATAAATAGAATAATTAAGTAGGGAAATATAAATTTTATATGCCTACTTATCTGATTAATAGATATTATATATATTTTATTGGATCAATCTGATCTAGATATCCGGTTGGATGGAAATCCTGGGAACTGAAAAAAACTAAAACTAAAATACCAAAGACAAACTGCTGGTCGCAGTAGAACCAATGTAGTTTACCCTTTTCACCTTTTTACTATCTTATTACAATTTCTTTGATCAATAAATGAAACCCACAGTAAGAATACAGCAGGGGTTGGTATTTAAAGGAAATATCAGTCAGAAAAATCTATTGAAACAATATTTGCATAATCTTTAAAAGCAGTTAAAGGATAGAGATCTGATATGAAAAGGACTGAGAACATTGTACCTCAGAGTTTCCAGTTTGCAGTTTGGACTCTGCAGCCCAGCAGATAGAAGCTTCACTCCTGAATCCTGCAGGTTGTTATTACTCAGGTCAAGCTCTCTGAGACTGGATGACTGGAAGCTAAGAACTAAGGACAGAGCTTCACAGCTTGTCTCTGAAAGGTTACAGCCACTCAGTCTGAGGAGATGAGGAGGAATATCTAATATTAAACATTTAACCAAAATTAATGATTAAAAACTATGTCAAATGAGGACTGGGCTTCCTTTTTTAAAACTGGATCATTGTAAATAAAGTGAAACAACATGAACCCATATTTACAGTAGTAGCCATTCAAAGTTTTTCCACTTTCATGATGGGCCCTTGGCCGGTCCCCTAGAATTCCTTTTTAAACATCAATATTTGTACTAAAATATACTGTCATGATTTGTGGACATTAAGATCAAAAGAGAAGTGTTATCTCCTGGTCAGACCCTGTAATTCAGTAAAAGGGTAGATTTGGGGTAAAAAAAAAAAATATGCATGCCCATGAGAAGGCCAGTGGCTGGAATTTGGAGATTATTTTGCTGCCATTCGACTGGGTTTTGACTGGGAAGGGCCATTTTGAATGGCTGCTACATTATCTCTAACTGATTTCTGAGTATCAAAGCAGTAACGTTCTGAGTCCTTACAGTGCTCTGTTGGAGGCTTTAATCACTGGCATCATCCTTAGAAGGGCTTCCTCTGAAGCAGAATATTTCTTCAGGTCAAGCATATCCAGACCTTCTCCTGATGAAACCAAGATAAAGATCAGAGCTGACCACTGAGCAGGAGACATTTTATCTGCAGAGAGACGTCCTGAACTTAAGGACTGTTGGATCTCCCTCACTAGAGACCGATCATTCAGTTCATTCAGACAGTGGAACAGATTAATGCTTTTCTCTGCAGACACATTCTCACTGATCTTCTCCTTGATGTATTTAACAGTTTCCCGATTTGACCTGGAGCTACTTCCTGTCTCTGTTAGCAGACCTTTTAGGAGTTTCTGATTGGTCTGCCGTGAAAGTCCTAGGAGGAAGCGGAGGAGCAAGTCCAGATGTCCATTCGGACTAAGAAGGGCCTGGTCAATAACTCTCTGGTGGAGAACATTTTCATCTGCTTTGTTGAAAAATGGATTGATGATAGCAGGTATCTGTTGCTTCTTTTCCATTAGGTTGATGCCATAGTTGAAGAAGGTCCTGTGAACATGAAGAGCAGCCAGAAACTCTTGAACACTCAAGTGGACAAAGCAGAACACCTTGTCCAGG